TATCAACTGAATGCGACACTGCTTGACCATATATCGTCGCCAACCTGATTACATCACTTTACCAATAGAAGTGCCAGCCGCTGCGATAACACTTACCATGATATGAGTATTCTGAGTCGCTTCCGCGAATGTATTGATATCGTCGTGATTATCGAACCATAGAGGGCGTATTACAGGCCTTCCACCCAATGAGTATTCCATGAACAGGGTGTACCACATCGGCATCAGGGTATACCTCACACTCACTGCTCCTCTCACATGTTCTAGTGCTTCTGGTCCGAGCATCCATGGCTCCCTTCTGAGGGTGTTCAAGTGAGCATGGGCCCGATAAAATGGATATGCCAGAGCCCCCAGCTGATGCCATCGGATGAAGAGCTCATTAGTGGGATTACCGAAGAAGCCTGGCACATCGGCACCCACGAACGACATGCCGTTGACCGCCATCGATAGAAGCATGGGCACACTATGACCCAGATGAACAAAGTCAGCCATGTTGTCTCCAGTCCAGATCGGACCATACCGATGCGACCCAGTAAAGAAGCTTCGTGAAAGGACGAATGGTCGACGCTTACCTTTGGATCGGCCCAACATTCCCTCATAAGATGCACGATGGACGTACATACCGTACAAGTTGTGTAAGTCTCGGTGTTCAACACCCGAGTGATGGACCACATCACGAGGCATAGTCATCTCGGGGCCGTTGAAGACCGACGGCTCGTTCATATCATTCCATATGTAGAGACCTTCACCGGACCCTTTGTACTCTGTGAAATTGAATAGCTTTGACCAAGTGGCTCTCACTGCCGGATCGGTAAAGTCGGGATACTTGGATTCACCAGGCCAACACGAACCCACGAAGTCGGTACCATCCTTGAGCTGGACGAAACCCTTTTCAGCCTCGAACCTTTGGTATACACTGTAGTCGTTATCGACCTTAATGTGTGGATCCACGATGGCCACCATCTTCCGCTTGGTCTTCACTACACTGTCGAGCATATCTTTATGGTCAGCGAACCTGTCCTTATCCCAAGTGAAGTATCGTTTGCCATCGGTATGTTCGATATCCAGCCATAACACATCAAGTGGAACATCATTGGCATCGAACCTACATCCGAAGGCTCGGAACAAGCAGCCATCACAGCAAAGCCTACTGCTGATTCACTTTTTTCACATCAGCGATATCATCATAGTTCCACCGACTCTGATGCTTGCCTAAGGCAAACATGGGTACGGTAGATGGAAAGCCTGTGATTGTATGGTATTTGTACAGGACCTGCATACGCAAGAGCTATTCTGATGGCCAGAATCTCATTATCTACCTCGTACGGCTCTAGACCAGTTATGACAAACATGTCGACGATTCCAGACTCCGATAGAAACCAAGATTTAGCGTCGTGAAGCGGCTGCTGGATCTCCTTCTCGTGATAATGTGGGGTATCAACTGAATACCAAGATGATGCCGTCCGGTCCAGGAATGAGGACACCTTTGACAAATGTTTCCGAGGGATTATTCCATAGTAGTCCGGTAACGAAGGGCTGATCGAAGTGGGCCTCATGATTAGGATCATCCTTGTAGTGAAAAGATAGTAGGAAGGGCGATCCACCATACAAAGACGTCGGTGAATCAACTGGATACCTAGGAAACGAGGACGAGGCCGATTATGTAGGTCGGCGGCGTTATCAAAAAAAGTAATGAGAGAACCTAACCCACTCGAAGACATCGGTATTGTATATCCTATAGGGTTCCTCTAAGCGGGGCAAGTCAAGACTTGTCGAGTGACCAGCCAAGCCATATGCATGTCGAGATGCCACCATGGTGACATCGATACCAACAGCAGCTGGTCCGCGAGGCTTGGCATCGACAAACGAGTTGAATGTCTCCTCCCATAGGCCGGATGCATCTGCGAGGGCGGGTATATCGAAATTGAGACCATCAGCAGAAAACGTACCAGTCTCAGTCGCATCCGCGATACTTGTATCTCCTTCAGGTTTCGATTGATCTGAGCCATGTGACCTCGCCCGGTAAGTTTCAAAATTGAAGAGTTTATCCTTGTTGAGCTTGATGACGGACTTCTCATTGTGGGATCTGAGAATGAGGATAATCATGAGAGGGTTTCATCAACCTACACATCAATTTGGAAGGGATCGAAGTCGACTCGAACTCTACAATGATGTCGGGGATCTGTCGTTACACTGAGGGTAATGCCTTCATCGTTTTTCTCATACCTACAAATAGCACAATGGGAACCACGACGATGGTTGACCGACTCACTCAATGTCTGCCCATGGTATAATCGGTAAAGTATCATCCAGGACCACGTCGTTGTCTGGTATTCGATACCTGCATGCCGACATCAAAAGTAGGATCACGTTTGTGGACTCACCTGGGATGAATAGGGTCCTTCTCATCGACCGAGACGCGGACAATACCGCATCGACCAACAACATCTGTATGGAGTTGCAAATGCAACTGGAGCACTGTCGTGGGCGCGTACTGATGATGACGGCGAGTATTGTGCAAGGAGAGAGTGAACGACCTACTCTATTATGGAGATCAAGCCTCAAAGGCTGAGTGTTGGTCGGCCTTGTAACCTCGGAATCGATGTACCAAGGACCTAGCCACTCACCGGGCTGGCAACTTCGCGCCCTATCGATCCATTTGCGGAATCGACGGCAGAAAGAGCCCTGGCAAGATAGTCTTTGGGTAACCTCAGGTACTACCCTACCTGGTCACATCTTCGGAATTTTCTTGCATCCTCAGCGAATGTGGAGATGAGCGCAAAAGCGCAGAGCAGGACAAGAGGACGAGGCATCTTTCTAAATCAGTCAACCAACGACTACAAGGACCTCAAATGGATAACTCTTGGGGGGGCGAGCGCTGATAACTCGGCGTATCTTGGAAACTGCATCTTGCGTTGCTTGGGGGTTTCACTGGCCAAGGTCGAGTACTATGGTACCCAACTTCAGATATCTCGGGTTAAGAATGATTAATGAGTCCCATGATGTGTACCTGCACCTTGTCAGGGAGTTCAGACGAATTTGACGACATTCAGGACACGTGCCACAAAGCAGATAGTCGATCCGAACCCAAAAGGAAGTGATGATTATACTTTACATTAACAACCACCGGTATGTCATCAGCCTGGCAGTCTATTACAGTCCCGAACGGGATGCACGCAGTAATTTCGCGGTCAAAGGGCCTAGAGAATATGTTTCTGGTGACGTGTACAGACTATAGAACGTGAAGAATCAATTCTCTCTCTGGTCATCCGAAAGCGGGTGACCAAAAGAAGAGGTACAACAAATATGACATCTTCGAACTACTCCACTCCAAACGTTGGCAATCATTGAGAGACACATCCTGAATTCATCAGGGCCTCTCGTGATTATTCATGCTGGTTTGCTTTCATGGCTGAAAGCGGATCACCAAGGTGATGATCAAGAAGAATGGAACCACAATGGAAGCATTCCATTAGAGGAGTGGACATCTTCCAGCATCCTCCCCTAGATGGTCATGAATTACCTATCATTAGATCTCTAGAAGCACTGAAATACCGAGGGTCCGAATTTCGGACCCTCGGTATTTCGGACTCCGAAATGGAGAAGACTCTACTCAGCAAGTTCTACGCTGGCTGGAAACCTAGTACTCACTAAAAGACGTTACGGATCTGGGCAGCCTGCAGGAGGGTATCAAATCTTGTTGGGTGGAGATTACTGTGTCAGCGTAGGAGCCTCGAATCCAGAAAGGCTATTATTTTAATCAAACACAGTGTTGTTAGTTATGTGACTCTACGTTGTGGAGTCTGGAAGATATCCGACCCAATGAGTTTGAGTAACCATCTTCTTCCTGATAAACTGCTCTGTCATCAGTTATGATTCTGGCATGCAGCTGGGAAGCGATTTCGAATGTCGAGTGATCGTGGATCTGTCGAGTATCACTACTGTAGGGACTCCCCAAGTCTCATGTTCATGCTCATTCTCGGGATTCAGCCTTCTCTCGTGTCCAGGCATTGGTAACCCTTTATCATCTATCCCAGTCCTTTCCAGTGGACCATACAACACAAAAGGCTAGTGAGTATTTAAACTATTCACAAGTCTGTTGCAAAAAAGTAAGAGCAGGTACCTACACACCGAGTCAGATCATAATTTCATAAGCCTCTGCTTCTTCTGCTTCCTGAAGATCAACCGAGCCCAGCCAGAGACTCAGGATATCGTCAATCTGATCCCGGGCAGCAATCATATCAGATGTATCATTGTCCGATGGAGCCTTCATTTCAGAATGGTGGGCTCCGCTGGGAATCATAAGCGATATTATAGTGTCCGAAAGGTTTCTAGTCACCGCGCCTGCCGTCCAGCCATCCATACCACCGTTAACAAATAACACACGTGAGGTGATGTCAGGCAAGGTGGCCTCATCAAAGCCCCATAGTCGTTGAGTCGATGCTCTCGAGTAGTATCGGAGAAGTTGTGGAAGACGTTGTTCCCAAAAGACTCTTCACAATAAGCGTTAAGCCATTGATCCACGGAGAACCTTCGAGGAGGGAACATATCGGATGGAGGACCATAACTAGAATATGTTCCACAAGCTGAGTGCACGTTTGCCAATCCCAAGACCGTCCAGCTCGTCCGACCCCACAACCAGTCCAATCTCCACACGAAGC